TCAAACTTCAATGACTAAAGCCCCCAGACCTCTTCCATTTTCATTCCCGACACCCTCCCATCAGAAAAATAAAAATAAAATTGAAGTTTCAGATCACATTTAAAGTAATTATAGTGATGCCAGCTTTTTCTCTCAATTCTTTAATGTTTCACACAAAATTCAAAACATTCCTCCCTGATTCCCCAAAGAAACAGAGCAGGTGGTATTCTTTACCTTTATACAGTTCCCTGTTTTCTTAGTAATTCAGATGAGTTTGGACAATATCAATCATCACTCTCAACAGCTCTCTAAAAGTCTTTAGAATGGCACCCATTTCTGACATTAAAAAATAGAACAGAGTATCTACTGCTCAATGAACAGGTGTGGATATGAGAGATGGACTGGTCCCTGTGACACATGGCACCTCATGAAATGTAGTAAAGAACTGAGAGCTTGATATGCATAAAGTAGAAAGCCTAGGTGTTTGTTCATTTATTTAAGATTTGCCTATAGATCTTTTCTGATTCCTGAAAAGAGAAATGGAAAGTCTCGCTTTGCAGAAGGACACCTTGAAGGTGTTCTCTCTTCCAGGGCAGCTCCACGATTTCCATGTGGGGTTTGGAGCATGCAGTGATCAGAATGGGAAAGGCTGCATAATACAGGGCAAAATTTTTGGAAGCAGACAGATACTCAGTAGTACTTCACGTTGCTTAATACCTGTAGTCCTTAGATGATAATCTTACTAAGGAATTGGCACTAAGCTTTATGTCTTGTATACTTAATGAAGACTGGTGTGTGTGTGTGTGTGTGATGTAGATATGGGTTATTTATTTTATAATATTATGCAGGCAAACTCAGCTAAAATATATAAGAGATCTTAAAGACAATGGACTCACCATCTTGTGTAAATCTCACATAACCCAAGAATCTCTCAATGGAGCCACCAAATAAAATGTTCTGGGAAGAATTAACTTAGATACTAGATAGCTATTTACTTTAATAGCTTTTTGAACATATATCTGTAAATCATTTTTCTAAAGTTTCCTCACATTTGAATTATAATATAAAATATGAATATGGATGGCATTAAGTGCCAGTATAAAGACCATGAACTTGGGAATCCAAAAGAAAGACCAGAGGTTGAATACCATCCTGGTCACTTTAACTTCATTTTTTGGTTCCCAGTTTCATCCTGGGATGAAACATGCACCCAGTGCATGTTGGTAAAATAATAACCATGAGGCCCCGACACAATGCCTGACCTGCGAGATATCCACAATGATTGGCGATTCTACTCTCTTGTCAGTTACAGTGAAAAGATGTTCTCAACTTTTCTTCATCTCCACATGTATAAGACTTTCAAGAAAGGAGATAACAAAAACAAAAAGTGTATATATATATATATATATATATATATAGGAAGTGTTATACTGTTGTCTTTCATCTTCTGGAAACTTCATCTCCTAGAAGAACTGAATTCAGATGCTTTCTACTTTGAGGATGCATCTAGTTTGCACTTCTGTCCTTGACCTCCAAAGCAAAAAGTCATGCACTCTGTATGAAGCTCTGGAAACAGGAATGGATGTGCTAGGCATCCCTGCACTTCCATTTCCATGGGGGTTACTTTCTCTTTTAGACCCAAGATGTTAGAAACACCTGAATTAATCTTTAAATATCTGGAATCCCTGTCCCACTAACAAAATGCGCTATACTGTCTATGTTCTGTGATGTGCCATGTGTCAAGAGTAGCCCCACTGGGCCTCAAACATCAACAGGACAATGTCCATTACATCCTACTTTCTCATTTGGGGCTGTCATTCCTTAGAAAGCCACAATGATCTCAAGTACTTTGAAAACAAGCTTCCTCAGAAATGTAAGGATCAAGAAAACTTTCTGTGTTTGACTTTCTGTTGGCTTGTTGTTGTTTTATTTGTCTCCCCTGCCCTCCCCAGGTAGAAAAATTTCAGCAGACACAAAGCGTAGCTCCATTTCAAAGAAAAAAATGAGAGAGATCCGAATTTTCCAAAATTCAAAAATTATTACTGGGGAAAGAATAAAGCAAGAGATAGACTTTTCTGAGATAGACTTCAGGAATTCAGTCAGCACATTTTTAAAACTTCCTTTTACTTGTTTCATTTTTTGAGAGACGGGTCTGAAATAACAGATGATTTTTTTCCCCTTCCTGCAGCTGGGTAATGTGGCAGCTTTTACCAGCCTCTCTCAGTCATAAATGTGTTTTAATGGACTGACGTGTGCTTAATAATACAGACAGCACCTGGATGCTTTAGAACAAAGTGCCACCAGGGCCTAGCCTATGTTAAAACTGCATTATTGACCTGAGGCCTACAAGTCTCTATACTCAAACATCTTGCTGATTAGAGAGAAATAGCCTAGTACCAGGTCACATTTGTCTTCTTCAAATAGAGAGGACTGAGGTCTAACTTTTATAACTCTGAACATGAAGAATATTATGTTTCTAAGTGATTAACTCACCTCCATTACTAGATATTTTATAAATTTTATAAAATTCTGTCACTGCACAAATTGATTCAGCTTTTATGACTTTGTGGAGTGAGGTCCCTTCTAGCTATAGGTCTTGAGTCAGTATGTGAGGGAAAGGAATCTGCTGAATACCTCTCAACACTGTGCTTAGGATTTTAGATACATTATTTCATTTAGTCACCATCATGCAGTCTCCTGATTTAAGAACTCTCTTTTTTTTTTTCTTCCTATCTCACATTTTAGGCAAACTCTGAGATAGTTCCTAATGATCCGTGACTTCTAATATCCACAGGTTTTTATAATGCCCTTTGCTTGAGCAAGGCCAAGATTTATTTACTTGTTTCTACTACTGAACAGAGCATGGTTAAAGGGATGGGATGCCACTCCTGGTGTCAGGTTATAAAAGGACTATGGTTTTCACCATGAGTGTTCTTTGTCTTTCTTGAATCACTCATTTTGGGATAAAGGTACTATAATTTCATGAGGCACCCTTCTGGAGAGGCCTTGGAATAAGCTTGGAAGTGGATCTTCTGAGGCTGCCCAATAGCCATATGAGTTAGCTTGGAAGCAGATTTACCCAGAGTTGGACTTTGAGGTAATGGTAGCCCCACCAACAACTTAATTGAAGTCAGAATTACCCAGCCAAGGTGCTTCTGGATTCCTGACTTTTGTGAATTAGGACACGATAAACATTTTCAACCCCTATATTTTGCTATAGTTTGTTACACAACCATAGATAACGAATACACTCTCACTTACATATGGGACAAAGTTAAGAAGTTTATTCAGAGCCATAGAACATTAAGGAAAAGAGGTATTTTTTGAACCTAAGTTCCAGACCCAGGCTCTCCTATTTTTGCTCACTAAGTGGCATATGAGGTTCTCCCACAATCTGACCTGATCTTGGGTATTAAGTCATGCCCTTTACTATTTAAATCAATTTTCTCTAATTTATTTGGATAACAAAACTCACAATCCAGTTGGGAGAAGGAAGACATTTAAGACAAAAATGTGTTGTAGTGTAATCCAGGATGGATATTGGCCCAGGATGTCCAGAGGAGGGCTGTTTACTCAGACTGTAGAACCATGAAGGCTTTTCAAATGATTTGTTTACTTAAGAACATGCCTCTGCCCCTAACATAATACCTGGCACTTTATAGCCTCAATAAGTACTTGTTGACTAAGTACTGCTTCTAAAGACAGGAGACATTGGTAAGGTAACAAACAGAGAAGGAAAGAGAAAGTTCTGCTGTCCCATGTTACAAAAATATCACATGGAAGAGTCAGAGTTTTGAAATACATGACTTCGTCATAAATCTGTTCTGCAGTATTGCTACATATTAGAATCTGTATATTGCCATAAAAGTCTTTCCAAAATTAGTTATTCTGGGGCCAATTTTAAAAAGTTTTGCCATACCTAGAGGCCATATGAATGAGTATTTAATTACTATCTTAAAAATGTACTTTAAATATATTTTTTAATTTAACTATTTTTATTGATTTACTTGAGAGTGAGAGAGCACGAAGAGGGGGAGGTGCAGAGGGAGAAAGAAAAGTAGATTCCCTGCTGAGCAGGGAGCCTTATGTAGGGCTCTATCCCAGGACCCCTGGATGATGACCTGAGCCAAAGGCAGACATTTAACCTACAGAGCCACCCAGGTGTCCCTAAAAAAGTATTTCATTAAACTCAGTAACTTTCACTTGAAATAAAATTTGGTGGCTGTAAAAGCTCTGTGGTATTGTGTGTGATATACAGGGAAACTACAGACTTACAACCAGGGAAATTCAGGATGAAATGTGGTTCCAACAGGTATTAACATGTGATTTTTTAAGTTACTTAGCTTCCATGACTCTTCACTTCCTTGTCTATAAAGTACATATAAAAAACTTTCCTAGAACGAGCATCATGAAGAGTCCATATAATATATGCCATGTCTGTCTAGACCTAGCAAACTGTTCAGTAAGTGGTCTATATTATTTATATTTAGGTAGGAATTCATATTCCTGCTTCTCAAACAAATCTGCTGAGGAATAAGGAAATTAAGAGACTTGTCAAAGTTTCAATAGATACGTTGGAATTCAGGGGTATTTTGTTGTTATTGTTCATTTAGTTTTAGGTTTTTTTGGGAAAAAAAGTTGCTTTGGGGCACCTGGGTGGTCGGTTATGTCTTCCTTCTGCTCAGGTCATGATCTCAGGGTGCTGGGAAGCAGCTGCACACTGAGTCAGGCTCCCTGTTTGATGAGGAGTCTGCTTCTCCCTCTGTCCCTCCCCTCTGCTCCCCTCCCACAAATAAATAAATAAAATATATATTAATTTAACTCTGTGTGTGTGTGTGTGTGTGTGTGTGTGTGTACATACACATACACATGGTAGCCTCCCCAGACTTAGAATAAATTAGTGACTACTGGGTCATTCCACATCACTGACAGCTGGATTCTGCATGTTTTAGTCAGAACCTCAAAAGTGTGTTGATCTGGCTGAACAAGAAGCCGACCTAGCAATTGTCAGAAGACGATACCTGTGAGGATTTCAGCTGTGCGTTCGGTCATCTTCTGAATCACGAGTCTCACGCTTCCACCCTCCAGGCTCAGCAGCAGGGTCCCCGAGCCCTCAGACAGCTCTGTGGACAGAAGCAGACCATCCTTGTTCCATGTTCGAAACTGGAAACTCACTGAGAGCCCATCAATTTGAGGGGTGCCGGGCAGTAGCAAATAACTGCTTCTGGAGTTGACAAATGTGATGGGAACAATTTGTGGTTCGGAGCAGGAAAAAGTGACATTGCCCTGGAAAACAATAAAAATCAAACATATAAAAGCCATTTTTTATTCTGCAACCCGACAGCTGATAGAAACAACTACCTGTAGCTGACCTTAATTTCAGGATCATTCTACATTCAGCCGCAAGACCTTAAAGGAAAAGAAAATGTCAGCTTTGTTCAGATATACCTGTGAGATTGTTTCCATTCCTGTTTTGCAGATCACACTGTTACCCACGAGAAGGCCATAGAAGACCCCAGTTGGGGTGAGGGGCGGGATGGGAAGCATCAGCATTTTCTAAGGAAGCAGGTATGAAAACAAGGACATTCATCCATTGAATAAGTATGTACCACGAACCAACTATGGACCAAACAGGGGTAAAATTTCAAGACATACACATGAAAAAAACTTTGTTTTGATGTGGAAGTTGCTGCAAGAGAGATAGACACAATCTCCCAAGGGGACCCTAGTAGAAGAAATAATGAAACAAGTAAAGGTTTCACAAGGGAGGTGATGCTTTCCTGTAAGGATGTGGGGAAGGAGAGGAGGAAGTGTGCGTGGCTAGACTTTTCAGCAAGTAGCACATTGTGCTCAAAGAATTGGAGAAATTGGCAAAATGGCATTCCTGGGAATTATAGGGAACTGGTCATTTCTGAATATTAAGTGCAACAAGGAAGGCCAGGGGCCATGAAAGAGGTGAGGCCAGAAAGATGAGTAGAGGCAGAGTTTAAAAGCCCCATTATGTTTGTTACATTTGTTAATCCAAGCTTAGAAACAATAAAACTAGATTGGTTGGATTTAAGCTATGAAGATGATTTTCAATAGCATGAGGAGTGGACTGTTGTGGTGGGGAGGGGCAGATGGGAAGCCTAGAGGTGGGGAATATTAACTGTGCATCGACTAGAATCGGGAGGATAAAGAAGAATATTATTCTTTGTGTAAGTGAGGGGAAACTGGTCCAAGTTTTGTGTGTGGGTGTGGGGGGACACCCTGGCTTGACTGGCTGCCTGCATTCAAAATTTCCACTAAGGTGTCCAGATAGGGACAGTTGGTTAAGTGTCTGACTTCTGCTCAGGTCATGATCTCAGGGTCCTGGGATGGAGCCCCATGTTATCTGGCTCCCCTCTTAGCAGGAAGTCTTCTTCTCCCTCTCCCTCAGCCCTTCATCCCACTCCTGCTAGCTCTCTTTCTCTCTCTCAAATAAATAAACAATATCTTTTTAAAAAATTCTGGTGGACTTCTTTTCAAGAAGGAAGTATCTTCACTGATGGCAAATGGTTGAGGAAGAGCTGTCTTTTGGAAGAGGAAGAATCACAAATGCTCCTACAGCAAAATCCAGAGATAGCAGTAACCATTTTTCCTCTTTCTCTTTTTCCCAGAAGAGAAACAAATTTGCCAGAGCAAAGCTGTACCCCGAGTCTGAGGCTGTGCAGAAAGCGGAATGTTGGGGAGGCAATGATGTGACTCTAGGCAAAAGAATAGGAAGTAATAAAAATGCCCTACTCCCCCATTGATTTAAAATCCAATGTTTAGCTCAACCCAGTGTTCTCTCAGTGTTCTCTGGATCAATAGCCATGGAAGGTGGGGGACTACAGAAACTGAGATTCTCCCCTTACCTGAGCAGTTCACTCACATCTGACAGGTCTGGGAGATGCCTTCCTCAGACTTGCTCCATCCACTGAATGTCTAATGGACCTCAGGTACATGTAAAATGGACAAGGGCACTCAGCATCCCTTGAAAGACATTCAAGTGTCCTGGCTAGATTCTGGTGGCAAGAAATTAAGATTGATGTCTGAGGGATTCTCCCTGGTTAAGGTAAAGCCACGTGTGGTGATCAGCACTTGTTGTCATTGGGGAGTAGGACAACATTGAAATGCATTGGGGTGTTGCTGGTTCACTGCAGGTCATGCTCTTCCAGTCCATTCTCCACATCCCTTCATACTATCCTCTTCTATCCTTCCCTGGACTAGCTGCCTGAGCTGTCCAAACTTCCGTTTGTTTGATCACACCCCTGCTATGTTCTCTCATGGCAAGTGCAAGGACAAATGAGTAGGAGAGAAAAGAGTAGATGGGAAATGCTTTCCACACCAAATCTGACCCAGTTCTCCTGGCAAGTGAATGTTCCCAGCTCAGCTCCTCATCACACAGCTGCTGTGCTGCCATTTCTGCTTCTAATCCCATCTCAGCTACATTTGCTGTTTGCAAAATTGTCACAGTGTTGAGAAACATCAATATCCACCCCACTCCCATCTCCCCAATAGACAGAAAGAAAAAAAAATAGCTAAATGCAAAAATGTTACTTTTGAATCAGCACGATTATTTAACCTTTCTCAATAATACCATTTTTGATTCCAGTTTCCTTCTCAAGGCAACATTTGAGGGAGTCCCTACCATGATTTAGAAACAGCGTGCAAGAAGACAATTTACTTTAGGACAGTGTCAAAACAGAAAGTGGCAAAAAGACTATATTCCCCTTCAATCTATTAATTCAACTTTCATTCCATCTCCCCCACCCCCACTGCCTGCCTGCACCCCCACTTAGCCCTGCCTGCCAAGAAGGAAGCTCCATTTCTCAGACCACCTATTACACTGCACATTTCATTCATAAAGACTTTAATGCTGGGGTTCCTGGTTGGCTCAGTTGTCAAGTGGCTGCCTTTGGCTCGGGTCATGATCCCAGGGTCCTGGGATCGAGCTCAGCAGGAAGCCTACTTCTCCCTCTACCACTCCCCCACTTGTGTTCCCTCTTTTGTTATCTTTCTGTCAAATAAATAAATAAAATCTTAAGAAAAAAAAAAGACTTCAACATTTATTAAGGATTTCTCAAGCATTGTAAGACAATGTTCTAAGCACAGGAGTTATAAATAAGTTGTAAATGTGATTGAAATCCATCACATTCATCCTTAAATGTGCATTCTGACTGTAATAGGTACAAAGCATGCCATGACCCAGGAGCACACCATGGTCAAATCTTCAACATGAATCAACCAATGCTGGCCCAATAGATGAAATGAAGAAGTCAGTATCACTGCCATGGGTCCCTTTCTCTCCTGCATAAATTACAAGACCTGCAGGGTCTTTCACTGTCCAAAAAGGAGGTCACTCTACATTGAAGAGGCTAAATCCTTAGTACCTGATGCATTTCTCCTGACAGGTCCACCATGCCATAGTTGGATAGTGACCTTCTACTGTGTGACTGAAGCTGCCAGTCAAGACTGGGGTAGGGTCTACCCAAGGAACAAGTACCTGAAACACCTAGTGGGGACCTCCCTTTGTACCCAGGATGAAAGTTCTTAGTGCCCTGAGCTTTCACGTATCCTTTTCATGTGCATACACGACCATCCTCCAAAAGGCAAGGTACACAAAAGTGCTGGCCCCAAGATAGAGCAACCATCTCTCCATTAGAGACCCCCAAACAATATCCATATTACTTTTCAAGGATCCACCATGGCTTTTCTTTACAACCCTTAAGACACAGAACTTCCCATCCCACCTTTCTCAGACAAGAAGTGATCACTCCAGATGGACCACAGAACTTTGAAATCCTAAAGATCTGTTCATAGACCATCTTAGAGAGAGTCCATATCTGTGTAAAAATGTTATTCTGGATCATAAATAACAAAAGCTGATACTGTCACCTGTCATGAGAAGCTTGATGGCCTCCTCCAGGTGGTCAGGACTTGAAACCCAAGAACTAAATTTGTGTCAGAGTAGGAAGCAAACCCTTTTCATTGATTCATCCTCCCCAAGGAAGCCCTCCTTCCAAAGGGCAGAGAAAAACCCCTACCTCACTAATAGATATGAAGGAGCAGTACCTTGTCTTAGACAAAGGAAGCCTATCCTAATCTGGATGGTTACAAAAAGCTTCCTTAGGGAGGTGACAATAGCATTGAGATTTCACAGAGGCACAGGAGTGGCTATGTGGAGAATAGGAAAGTGTGTTATCTGATAATAGAGGGAAAGCATATGCTACAAGGCTAGAGGCAGGAAAGCGTGGGGCAGATATAGTCAGGGACTCAACAGAAGGTCAGCTGACTAGAGTTCAAAAGCCAGCATATCAGAAGGCAAGATGAAGTCGAAAGGACAGAAGGAAGGGCAATCCTGTAAGCTTTTAGACCATGTTGAGGCACTAGAACTTGATGCTGTGGGAAAAAAAGAGAATGGAAATGCAGGAAGGGGGATTGATGTAGAGGCTAGGATACACAGTCAAGTGGTGCTTCACATACTTCCCTTAGGGGGCTGTCCTTAAAGAGTAGAATGTATTGTATATGGAGATGAGTGGCCAAGGGACACACCTCAGGTAGCTGTTGCAGTTAGTAGACCAGAGCAGCTGAGGGCTTATGGAGGGCTCTATCTAGAATGGCAAAGGGGAAGAGGGAGAAAAGCAAACAGATATTTTGCAGGTAAAATTGATAGGAGATCCCCTGCATGGTGAAGGGACAGGAAGATCAAGCATAGCTCCCACTCTCCTCTGCTTGAACAAGGGACTTCAGCAGACATGGAAGGAAAAGATTTCTTTTATGTTAAATTTCTCTCTAGCTCCCTACGTGATTTGCTTCATGTCAGTGTTCACTCAAAGACAGTGGGCTGTTCAACTTAGGCAGAAATGGATTCTTATCAAAAATATTTACTGGAAAACCCATATATTTTGTATGATCCTTATTTTTAGCTACTGTAATTTGGAGGATAAAAGTAGAGAGTTGAATTGGGATCAAATGAGAATACACGCAATGAGCCCAGCATTAATCACAATGGTTGTTTTTCTGCTTTCCCAGGTCTTCCAGTTTTGGGGTGACCTGAGGCAAGTCACTTCTAGAGTTGTAGTTTCCTGTTTTGTAACCTGAAACCATTGGACTAGATAGTTCTGAGATCCCCACTGCTTCCCCATTTCTAGGGTATCTGAGACTAAGCACCCACATCCTTATCATCTGTCTCCTCTTTGGAGTAGGGGATAAGCATCATTTGAACCATTCATATTGTTGGCATGAGAAGAGTAACCAAGTATTTACAATTTAAAATACATTTC